AAAATGCTAACCATTTAAGGGTGCGGTTGTTACCCAGGCTATAGCTCAGCGTTGCTAGGTTCACTGAGTCGGGACAAGGGTTTTGTTGAGGGAGCCAGGTATTAAAAATATAAAAGTGAAATTAGCTCAATACCAAAGCCAATTTAATTTAAGTTGTAATTGATTTAAGTGGTTATAAATTTTAGTTAATTTAGATAATGTCTCTAGAAATGAAAAACAAACTTGCTAAAAAAAACTATGTATATATATATTAAATCCCGTCGCTTTGAGTTTTACAAATTTAAATGTATATCTAATAACCTAACAGTGTTAATAAATACAGGTAAGTAATAATCATATACATATACTTAACGAGAATTCTCACAGTTAAATTAATTTATGTTTTAGGTACCAACAAATTATATAAAGTGCACTCTACCTCAACCTCCTAGTGTACACAAGGACTTGAATACTATCCTATGGGCTCTTGTTACATGGGACATCCAGTCAAGCCGCCAATGTATTTTCCTGAAGCTTCCACTATAGTTGCCCCAAGCGCAAATCTTACAAGAAAGCAGTACACAGCCTTACTTCTTGGTATTCTTAGGGAGCGTGTAGAAGGAATCTCTCGTCAAACCCAGTACAATAATTACTTTTAATAAGTATCGTAAAGTAAAAGTACAGCAGGAGTAAAATAGGAGTGAAATTAAAGTTGAAGTAATATTAAAAGGCCTAAAATAAACATAATTATGTAGCTTTTCTTATTTTTAAATTGGACTAAATCGCTAGTAAACTTGTAAATTGCAAGTTAAAAATTTGTAACAAGATATAAAATTCACCCTGTGATATCTCAATTAAAGTTTATATTAAATAAAAGGTATATTTTAATAAAAATATAAATTATAGGGGTTAATTACCTTAGATGTAGTGTGGCCTTTATGTAAATATACTTTGTAATTTCTTTAAAAATTATATATAACTCTGTAGTAGATTGCAGGAGATTTTAAAATTAAATGCGCGATTTATCGATACGAAGCAGCGAGTTCGTTCATAAAAAAATCATACCTTATTGAAAAAGTTTATAAAAAAACAAATTATAACTATTAAAATTGTTTTAAAAATAATCAAATTTACCAATTAAAACATTCGAAATAATGCCCAAAATAATGTTATCAGAGTATTGCTACATAATTAGATTTATTCAACATTGCAAGCCTGGTTGCCTACCTACAAAGAATAACAACAATTTTAAACCAAAGCGACAGATCTATTACCTATAATTAAAATAATTATTACAAATTAGAACTAATAAAATTCCAATATATAAACTAAAATGTTTGTTAAATTTAAATTTAAGACACTGTAACATTGTTGATGTTACAGGATGTGAGTGACATGTGGTTTCAACAGGACGGCGCCACATGCCACACTGCCAGACAAACAATAGTTTATTGCAAACCAAACTTCCAGATCGAGTGCTATGTGAAATATCAAGTCTATGCGGATAATCCGCTAACCATTGAGGCGTTAAAAGCCAACATTGAACGTGCCATTCGTAAGATAGAGCCTCAGTTATGCCAAAATGTGATTACAAATTTTAACAAAAGAATCGATGTATGTAGGCGTACTGGGAGTGGGCATTTGAATGATATTATTTTTCAAACCTTCCACTTTATATATCAATAAAGATTCACAGCATTTTTATTCAAATTGTTTGTTTTATTTTGAAACCAAAAAAGAAGTCGCTGTTGGTAAACCCTGTAGGTAGTAGACCCGAAATTAGAGTTTGGAAAGATTTAAAAAACTTACTTAGACTTTCATTTGGCGACCAATGAAATTTAGACTGTTTAGTTTAGGAACTTTTGATTTTAAGCCCTTACAAAAACGAATCTTTTTTCAATTTTGATCAAAGAATTCAAAAATCCAGAAGTGTCATTGCATCAAAATTAATTTCCATAAATTTACCATTAGCCGAACGTAATTTCAAAATTGGTAACTACGATGAACTTTCTCTCAAAACATTTATTCGCGGACATTCAGGCCGAATTCAAGATATGGTTCGTTTAAGAAACCCCAATTCTTTGGAAGCTGCTATATCGTTTGTTATTAAGGAAAAAAAATATTCAGAATCAAAAACAAGCCGGTTACGCACAACAACCTAACTAAAATCTCAGTTCAAATAAAAATTTTACTCCCAAGAACTCTAACTTCACTATTAAACCGCAACAACCATTTAATAATAATAGTTTTTCAATTTTTTTAAGGCTAAGTACTTCTTTTACCCCATTGATAAATAATAACTCTAACTTTTCTCAAAATCAACAATTTTGACCCCAATTTCCATCACAACCCATAAACATACAACCAAGACCAAATTTCCAACAACAATTTTTTACTAATCAGCAAATTTTTGGAACACCCACAAATGTTTTCAAATCCACCGGAACAGTTTCCCAAAATAAACCAGAACCCATGTCAATTTCTACAAGAAATAGATCGGTACAAAGACCACATTCAAAGAAATAATTTTGCATTTCATAATATTGAAACGAATCCGAAAACAATATTGAACAATTTTCTGATATTTATGAACAACCACTTAATTACGATAACCAGTGTTTAAATAATCAAATATTAAATTTTGAAAACTATCAATTTCTAACAGATCAAACATTTGAAACCCAATACTATTGCGATAACAACGACTACTATGAAACGCCTACTGAACAAAATTTTCCCCAGGTCGAGACTCAAGACAATCAGACGTAATAATTTTAAACCACTTATCAAATGACCTACCTTTTATTTACATTTCATTAATAATAGCTTAGCCAATCAATATTTTAAACAATTTATACAAAATGAACACTTTAACATTCAAACTTCTCACGACATTAGTTCACACAATAAAGTAGCAATAATTCCTATTTTTTTACATATTTCAAACAAATGACCTTTTTAATTTTTTTATTTTTGACGGACACATAGGCATACATCCTTTACAACGTTTACAAGCATCTGTTGACATAAAACAAAAATATCTAATTATAACTCAAGTTTCCATTCCTATCAACTTAGATAATAATTTAAAACCTTGTTCTAAAATATACATATTATGAATGCAATCATGAAATAGTAATTCCAGCTAATTCCCAAAAAATTGTTAAAATTACAGTTTGTTACAAAAAAGGTGTAGGTATTTACGACTTAGATTTTGAAAATAATATAACAATGCACAATGCTCTTGTGAATATTGACAATTATTTTGCTTACACGACAATCTCTAATCCAACAGATAACGCTTTTAAAATAATAAACGAGTTTTTAAATGTTAACGAAGTAAATTTCATAGAAACCAATCATTTTAATCCTACATCAGAAAAAGAAGAAGATTTAATTTTACGCGATAACCTGAAAAATATTAATTTAAATCACTGTAATTACGAAGAAAAAGATGCTGTAAAAAGGTTATATTTTGAATTTAGAGACATTTTTCATTGCGATCAAATTTCTTTAAGTTTTACAAACGAAATTACACATAAAACTAATCCAACTGACGAAACCCCGATTTATACAAAATCATATAGATTCCCCGAAATTCACAAAGGAAAAGTGAAATCCCAAATTAGTAAAATGTTGTCCCAAGGTATTATACAACTCTCAACTTCCCCATGAAGTGGTCCCATCTGGATTGTTCGAAAAAATTAGATAATACAGGTAAAAAGAAATGGAGAATTGTAATTGACTATAGAAAACTAAACGAAAAGACAATAGGTGACAAGTACCTAAGTCTACAAATAGTTGAACTTTTAGACATGTTGGCCGAGCAAATTATTTCACTACTTTAGACTTAGCTTCAGGTTTCCACCAAATAGAAATAGACAAAAATGACATAGCAAAAACCGCTTTTTTTACTTTGAATGGACATTACGAGTTAAAACGTATGCCCTTCGGGTTAAAAAACGCACCCTCAACATTCCAAAGGGTCATGGATAATATTCTCAGAGGTTTAAATAATGATATCTGTATTGTTTATTTAGATGACATTTTAATATTTAGTACATCTCTTCAAGATCACATTATAAGATTAAAAAAGGTTTTTCAAAGACTAAGAAACGCAAATTTTAAAATTCAATTAGACAAGTGTAACTTTTTACAAAAAAACCGTTTCATATTTAGGACATACTGTAACACCTGAGGAAGTTAAACCTAATCCCGACAAAATTCAAGCTGTCAAAAATTTACCCATTTCAAAATCCCAAAAGGACATAAAATTATTTTTAGGCTTACTAGGATGTTACAGACGCTTTATTAAAGACTTTGCAAAAATTACAAAACCTCTAACTTTATGCTTAAAGAAAAACTCAAAAATATTACATGACCAAACTTTTGTTAATTGTTTTAATCAGTGCAAAAAAATTATTTGTAACGACCCAATTCTTCAATATCCAGAATTTACTCAAAAATTTATTTTATTTATTTTTATTTTAACCACACACGCATGTGACGTTGCTCTCGGTGCTGTGTTATCACAAGGTACACCCGGACAAGACAAACTTGTCGCTTAGGCGTCACGTACCTTAAACGAAACAGAACAGCGGTACAGTACAATCGAAAAAGAACTCCTTGCGATTGTCTGGGCCTGCAAATATTTTAGGCCGTATATTTTCGGACGTAAGTTTACCATATTTACAGATCATAGACCTTTATAATGGTTATTTAGTCTTAAAGAACCAAATTCAAAATTAATCCGTTGGCGTCTTTTACTAGAATTTGACTTACTCCAAAGTAAATCCAAATGCCACCAAATCCGATGACCAAACCCCTCATTCATTATCAAAAGAAGTTGCATATTGCATAATGTAACTTATAATGGACGTATGTATTATTGGTTGCCAATATACTTGCAAATCAAATATATCCTATTTTCCGCGTTTAACAGACTCATAACCTTACTTTTAAACTGTTTTAAAATAAAAAGTTATTAAATATTGTCGCAAGTGGTGTTATTTTGGTTTAAAATGGATCCCAATATGTATTCCACACGAGGCAAAGGGTAAGCTATTTTTTTTTACTTGAGAAAGTTTTCTTGCGCATTTGTGCATTTAGTTTTAGTTTTAAGCATGCATACGCAATTGTTTTCTGTTTTAGTTGCTTTTTAGAAATAGTTTTTTCCTGTTAAAAATTGCATTTTTTCTTTGATCCATTATAATGGACTATATGCATAATAGCGCTTAACGGTTTATTTTGCAGATTATTATAATATTATTGGAGGCACTTGAAGAAGACTCTAATGATAACCAACCTTCTACCATTTACATTGTACCTCCAGATGACAAAACAGCTTAGACAGAGGAAGACAGTGATGACTCTGACAAAGAAGTAGCAGATCCGAACCACCTATCAAGAGGGATAATGGGTCAAACTTGTGAAGTTAGGTGTTCACCCAAGCAAATAAATATGCTCAACAAAAAAACGTTACCCTTAATTTAACTAAAGAAGAACTATTTGTATTCCTGGAAGCCAAAATGTCCAAACAAGCGGATGTATTGGTCAAGTTTTGATGATGTTCCAAAAATAATTTATAATAGTATTAGGCTAAATAGATTTGAAAGTATATTACGAAACCTAAATTTTAATGATAACTTTTCGAATGACAGCACAGATAAATTGTACAAACTACGCCCAATAATTATCCATCTAAATCAAAACTTTAGAGAACATAGGGGGTTGGAGGAGCATATCTCGATAGATGAAAGCATGATACCATATTATGGAAAACATTATGCTAAGCAATATATAAAGGGAAAACCAATTAGATTTGGGTACAAGAACTGGGCTCTTTGTACCAATACTGGATACAGGCAAATCTACGCGTGAAAATCGGTTTGGTCTTGGTGGTGATGTTGTTCTATCGCTTTTAAAAAATGCGAATGTTCCATTAAATTTAGGGTACAAAATTTATTTCGATAATTATTTTACCAGTATAGCTTTACTTGAGCATCTTAGCCACCTACAAATTTGTGCAATTGGAACTGTTCGAGAAAACCTTTTCCCGATAAAAAGGAATGGAATAAAAAACCAAGAGGCGCATATAAATTTATGGCAAGTGAATCTGTTTTGCTGGTTAAATGGAAAGACAACAAGGTTGTTTCAGTGGCATCCAATTTTTCGCAGAGCAATATTGTCAAAACTTCACAATGGTGTAGGGAGTCCAAATCGAAAAAAACAAATAGATCAACCAGAGATTGCAGCCTACAATCTTGGTATGGGGGGAGTAGATAAGATGTACAATTTGGTGGCGGTATATAGAACAAGAATTCGACAACGCAAATGGTATATTTGCTTATTTACTTGATGTATCCGTTTGCAATGCCTGCAAAAATTATATACATATTTGGAAAACAACTCTGACGAATGTCAATTCACTATGGACTTTTTAATGGAACAAATTGATGGGGAATTTCACCCACATGAAGCAACTATTAAGCGTAAGCGCAACACCGGTCATACTTTGCTTTCCGATATTTGGTACAAGCGCAAACAAAATGATCCTGTGAATGAGCGCCTACGTATTGTAAGAACTGCAGCGAAAATTATATTGGAAGACATTGGATCGATGTTGTACGAAACAGTAGAGTATCCCCTAGTGACGATTTTTATCTGATGTTAACGAAGTAATTCCTAAAACTTTGTTTTTCTTCCTACAAGACATTATTGTGAAGCACAAACGTGGCCCTGTGGAAACGCAAATGTACCAGTATAGCACATGCTACTGTGTCGGCTGCATGGCCACGATCTTTTCTGGTTCCCCTGCAAGTTGGCTTAGGAGCATTTTTAAACAAGACCTATGGATTCCGCCAGTTAATAGATGTTTTATCGTCCTTGGGCTTCTCCGCATCGTTCCATGAAACCGCATTATTCGAACTATCTGTTGTTATGCGGCCGGAAATCGCCTTTGAAGACAATGCTTATTCTCAATTTGTTTTTGAGAATGCAGATGTTAATACACGAACAATTAATGGCTTCGGCACATTTCATGCTATGGGAGGTATTCAATGTGTGACGCCAAAAACAGCTATCCGTCCAGATCAAGCGATAAAACGTTATCGCGAGAAGCCTTCCGCGGCGGTTGTGGGAACAAACGGCAGGTATTTTGGGGGGGAATGGTTTCATGGAGGAGGTAACCGCTCGCGAATCTTTTCAAAGAAGCCAAGTGTTATGCCTTCCGTTCATTAATGCCATACCTAGTGACTACGATACAATTTTTTCAGCGCTGTCGACCGCATCGAAGAAGTGTCAGTCACTAAATCAAAAGACCTGTTTCGTCACCCTTGACCAGCCGCTGTACATCAAAGCACGAGACATCATATCTTACTGCGATGAGGCTGAATTTAGCAATGTTATTATTAGACTAGGCGGCTTTCACCTGTTAATGTCATTTATGGGATCTATTGGTTATTTAATGTCAGGAAGCGGCTTGAATGATGTGCTGGCAGTCCTTTATGCCGAGAAATCGATAGAGCACATGCTTACAGGGCATGCGTACGGAAGAGGCGTCCGAGGCCACATGTTATTGCATCTTGCACTTGCGAAACTGGTGTTTGACCTTATCGATATCAGTGACGACGAGCGGCTTGTAATGAACGATATTCTATGCAACAGTGACAGAACCGAGATCATGGCCGTGTGTGAGTTATGTCAAACATTAATGGGTAAATTCCAAGAACAGTTGCAGAAGCTTGAGAGCTTAGGACTTACCGCCAAATTATGGGTGCAATATTTCAAAATGACCACGTAAGTAAAGAACTTTATTGAAGCAGAACGAATGGGCAACTGGCAGCAGCACCTGGATTCTATCCAAAAAATGCTACGTTCTTTCATGCCAGCGGCCATTTCTTATATGCAAAGAGCAGTCATTTGTAATGTAGGAGTAAAATAAGTAAGAATGCGATAATAATAAATCACTCTGTATTTATTAAATTTAGGTTAACTTATGTAATGTAAACAAATTAAAGTTATTAGTTGTTTAATATTTAGCAATAAGTAGAATAAGCATTTTTGGCATGGGTGTATTATAATATCAATTAATAAAATATACTTATATTTGATTTTGCTAAAGCAGGTTGTTTTATTTAAAAGTAGAAAATCTCCTTTTATCACATGGCGATCCTGCCTAAAGTAAAGCAAACTAAAAAGAAAGCAATGGGTAAAACGCAGAGCAAAAAAGAAATTATTATAGCTCAAGCAGGAAATAGCGGTGGACAAACCAATAGGCCCAGTAACCATGGTTTTGACTCTATCCAGGATATCGTCAGTATTGTTATAATTGGGTTATTGGCAATTTTTTTTGGCTGGTGTATGTATATAAAAATCAAAAAAACTATGGTAAAGAGAATAAGGAAAGAAATCGGAAGAAGTAAGAAGAACATTTTAGGTTTTAGGTTACAATAAAAGTATGATTAAATTAATGAATAAACTATGGCATGTCGGTACCGACTGAATTTATATATTTACTGGATAAAGTATTCAAAAGGAGTTTAATAAAAGATAACGCAGAGAGAAGAAAACCGAAGAATTATAATCTACGTAAACTAACTAAATTTAAAAATTACACATTAGAATTAGGGACCATTAGAGGAAAATTTAATGAAAAACTAAACAATTTTAAGTTATTAAAAGTAGTTAGGGAATATATAGAGCAGATAGAAAAATATCTTAAAACTAGTGAAGGTATTTTACAATCCAGGTTAGAGGAGATCAAGGTATCAGGTGAAGAATCAGAAATTTTGGTTTCCACTGACTCAGATTCAGAAAAATTTGAAGAATTCAAAGAAAGTAGGTTAGGCATAACAGAAAAGATGGCCCAAAAATTCGACCCCAAAACTGCATCAAGCTTGCTACCAGTTATGGACGGTTCTGAAACTGTAACATTGCAATTAATTAATGGTATCGAATGGTATGATGCACTTTTGGACGATGCAGGTAAATTGTTGTTAACCACATATGTACTAAAAACGCGTTTATCCGAGAGTGCTAAAATTAGGTTAAAATCATCCTATGCTTCAAACCAATTGTTAGTGCCAGACATTAAGCTACATTTTATTAAAAAAAAATCTGCGACCGCTTTATCGCGAAAGATGAAGATCTAGGGCAAACAAATTCAAAACCTCTATTTCACATGCGGGGTAGAGGCAATTGCTCACAGCAAAAGCACTGTAATAATGATAGGCGAGGGAAAAGTAACAGTTTTCGAACTAATCGGGGTAAAAACAATTTTGGGTATAGAAATGATAACTTTAGGGGACATTTTTCTCGAGGTCATCAGAATAACAATTATTTTAAAGGAAGAGGTTCGTATTCAAATAATTATTCATCGCGAGGACAGTATGGTTCTAGAGGACGGCCCGGGAACAATAATAATAATTAATCAAATCAAAGAGAATATTATGAGTAGTGGAGAGTTTGATACCACTAATCAAAATAATTATCCGCAAAATAATAGCGAAAAGTTTTTTCGAGGCTCATCTGAATAAAAATTTTAAAATTTTTCTTGATACGGGAGCTTCAATAATTGTGATTTTCAAAAACTTTGTAGACAAAACAAAAAAAATTAATTGTTCAAAGAAAATAAAAATTAACGGTGTTTCTGGTGAAATATATTCGCAGGGGCTCCGTAATTTTATGTTTAAAAATAAATAATGTAAAAGTGTGTCACGATTTTTTGCTGATCGACAGTTTTGAAGACAGTATTTAAGGTTTATTTGGAACAGATTTTCTTGTGCGACACTTTGCTAAATTAGACTACGAGAAATTTTGTTTATCATTCACTGTAAAATATATGCAAAAATATTCATTTTTAAGAGATCAAAACAAGATCAAAGTAAAGACTGGATTGCTTGAATATTTAGGGGAAACGAAAATTTTTACGAAACTTGCCGAAAACACAGTAAATTTTATCAGTGATTTTCCTATGGACGTTTTAATGTGCATGTCTAGATGTTTAACATATTTTAGAGTAATGCGGTTTAATAGCAAAACTAAAGAGGAGAGCTATACGTATGTATAAGAAAGCCCAATAAAAAACTAGCAATAGTGTCCCAAAAAAAAGTTATTTTAATTTGATTTGGTTTGCTTGCTTTAATTAATTTATTTTTCCATCATTTTATTAATAATATATAATATAATATATCAAGTTTCAAGGTTCGTTTGTAAAGAATTCAGCTACAAAAATTAGTTATTGCTGTAATAGATCTGGATTTTTCAAATCTGAAAGCCAAGGGCTTCGACATGTTAAAACCCAAGGTAGTAACAAAATCAATGGCTTTTGTCCAGCAAAAATAAAAATATGTCTGTGGTTATGTTATTTAGGTTCCAGAAAAAATATTCATTTTAAAAAGATCAAAAACAATATCAAAGTAAAGACTGGATTGCTTTAATATCTAGGGGAAACGAAAATTTTTACGAAACTTGCCGAAAACACAGTAAATTTTATCGGTGATTTTCCTATGATATCCAATATAGGTACATAATATATGTTACAAACAAAGACGATAATCCGGCCATTACCGTTATTGGCCAGTCAAATATCAATGAGTAATAGGCTAGTGAGTTTCTTTAAAACATGTACACTATTTAACATCACGCAGCATGGGTACATCAAAGGAAGATCCATTGACACGGCAGTATTCAATTTTACGAATAAAATTCTTCAAGCTTTCGAATCACGGGAATGTGCAATGGGAATCTTTTTAGACCTTTCTAAAGCCTATGATTGCCTAAATTATGAAGTTCTGTACTTAAAACTGTGTATTAGAGGAATTGCACTCGACTGGTTCAAATCCTACTTAAGCAATAGAATGCAAAGGGTGTGTATAATAAGGGACTTAATTGCCTATTACTCTGAATATGAAAATATTAAGTTGGGAATTCCCCAGGGTAGCGTGTTAGGTCCTTTATTGTTCATTATATATGTAAACGATATATCAGCAAATATAACCAATACCAGTCAGAGTATGGTGAACTATGCCGACGATACAAATTTACTTGTGGTAGGTAAAACTTCTTTGGAAGTTGTAAATAACTGTAGTATGCTTGTGGATGATGTTTGTCATTGGTTTAAATCTAATAATTTAACTGTTAATAAGGAAAAAACAAATATTATATTGTTTAGAACCAAACTCTCCAACGTAATAGTCCCTTTTTTTGTTCAGGGTTTGCCAATTGCATTTACGAGTGAGACTAAATTCCTGGGTGTTCATCTTGATGAACACCTTGATTGGTCTCCTCATGTGATGCAGTTGTGTAAAAAACTTAGTAAAGTTGTATATACAATTTATGTACTTAAAAAATATGTTGATGTGAGAGTCCTAAAAACAATTTACCATGCCAATTTTAATTCTATTTTAAGATATTGTATTATATTTTGGGGTTAATGTGTGAATTCAAATGATGTTTTTTTAATTCAAAAAAGAGCACTTAGAGCAATTCTTAATTTTAATGCTACCCAAACGTGTAGGGGTTCTTTTAGGTATAGCAGAATTTTAACTTTTGTGGCTGTATATATTTATGAAGTTTTAATATTTGTTTTTAAAAATTGGAATGTCTTCTCTAGTCAGCTATCCAATAGGATTAATAGCAGACACAATGTTATGAATATACCACCTCATAGATTAGCAATATTTAAAAAAGGATGTTTTTATACTGGTATTAAAGCATATAATAAGTTACCTTTACATATTAAGAATTGTAGATGTTTTAAAGAGTATAAAAAATATATATTGGAATACTTAATCGAAATAGAACCCTATACTCTGGATGAATATTTTAATTATGTGCCTTAATATTTATTTCTACCAATTTGTTAATCTGTATATCCTGACTATATTTCTGTAAATATGTGTATATTCTTATGTGTATATTTATAAGAAATAAAATTATTATTATTATTATTATTATTATAAAATATCAGATGAGAAGGATAAATTGTTATTTTGACGTCTGCAGTTTATACCCATTTATAAATAAATATAAAAAATATCTCCTTGGCCGTCCTAAGACTCATGTTGGCGACGAAGCGTGCCGGAAATTGCCCATGGATACGATAGAAGGCATTATTAAATGTTCGGTTCTTCCACCTAGAAATAACAATAACAAAGCTTGTGTAGAGTCATTGCACCAGGGACAATGTCTGCATTAAGAAAATATAAATTATTGGGAATAATTTAAAATAATGAACTAAAATGCCTAAAGACATTTTAATATAAATTTAAAAAATAATACAAATTTTAGAGAATATAAATTATTGAAAATAATTTAAAATAATTAACTAAAATGCTTAAAGACATTTTAATATAAATTTAAAAATAATAAAAATTGTGTAAAATATAAATTATTGGAAATAATTTAAAACAATTAACAAAAATGCTTTAAGACATTTTAATATAAATTTAAAAATAATAAAAATTGTGTAAAATATAAATTATTGGAAATAATTTAAAACAATTAACAAAAAATGCTTTAAGACATTTTAATATAAATTTAAAAACAATAAAAATTAAGAAATTATAAATTATTGAAATCAAAATCTCTAAATTTGAATATCATTCTCCTTGCTGTTAAATTAAAACATGAAATTAAATGTTCGTATTCGTTCTCCAAAATGATATTGTTGAAATATTGAGAAGCCATGACTGCACTAGTCAAAAACACAAATAATATACGAGTAGTAGTACTACTACTACGAAGAGCTTTCGGTATACTGTATAGATGCACCAAATGATTTTTTCGATACCCCGCCCACTAGTCCGACATAATTTTTGGGGGTATGGCTCATTTTTCAGGTATAAATAAGTTTTTAGAAAACTTTCTGAAATTATTGCTTATATTCAACTTGAATATAAAGTGCCTTTTTTGAAAATTGTTCCTAAAAAAACAAAAATCATCTTGACAGAGTATGGGAAGAACTTATTATGGATTCTCCCAAGTATCGTGAGAAAATGGGGAACGCATATACGCCAAAATCTCTTAAAGATCTCTGCAGGCAGGTTGTGAATTCGTATTTAACTGTGGCCGAAATAGTAAGTGGAGAACTACCGGTGATTCTCAACGGTGAAGTGATCCAAAACAGAATTGTCGATTTCATAACGGGTCATGAAATCGACAACTCATTAGTACGCAGACGAGATCTGAGAAATATGCAGATTGACGCTAAATGGACCAAAAAAGCGGTGGAGCTGTTATGGGGCCGTAGGTTTAGCATGCGTGCTATTCGCCCCATAATGTTTATCCCATATAGAGAATATTACTGCACCATCAATAAATTTTATTCTACTACATATGGGCATATGTCCAACAGCTGCTGGGGTGACACCTATGTTCTTAACAATTTTAACTTATACGACTACAACATAGAACATAGGCACTGCTTGGAGTTTGAGGAGATTTTTGAACCTATATTTATGACCCGAAAACTGTTGCAATTTCTGCAATCGTCGGGTCTTATTCGACATTGTACGGGCAGGTATATGCCATTTATATAGTATAGAGTCCGCGGAAATCACAAACGCTAGCGATAGCGATACACAGGACGATGACAGCGATGATACCGACAATGCGAATAAATGAACTGGTTTTTTTTTTAAGTAATATTTATGTATTTTATTAATTTTTTTTCAATTATTTTTCTTAAATATAATTAAAGATTTTGACATATTTTATCTTGTATATTTTTTAGTTTATATATTTATTAGGTTTAATTATATTTTAGAGTAAATTATATATATAAAGGGTGATTTATTTAGACCTTTTTTTTTAATTCTAAATAAAATGCATAAAATGGAATTGGATGGCCGAATCTTTATTATGATCTGAAAGAACGATCTTTGACATTTATTATTTTTAAATAATTTCATTTAAATGCTGGCCGCTTACAGCGTGGTCCATTGGGAAGGTCCAATTTTCGATCACTCTTTCTAGCATTGCGACCGGTATCTGCCCAATTACCCGAGTAATGATTTCTCAATAAAGCTATTGTTTCGCGCGCTGTGTGTGCCGTAGCTCCGTCTTGTTAAATCAAAAGTCTTCGTCGATAATCCAGCTACGATTCAGGACTAAGAAGCCAACATTACTCGCCTAATTGGATTGGATGTTGGATGAGCAGTCATATTTTTTGGCATAACTATGAAATACCATTATGCAAAATGCCCAATCTTATACAAATATGTGAAAAACCTGTACGAAATAGTTCAGAAATCAGCGAAATTGTTCGTTTCTTGGTACAAGAAATGCGAAGCGTATGTTCCTCTCCCTACCGCATTCCGGCCTTTAAAATTGTTTGCCATAAAATGGTTGAGAAGTACCCATCAATTAAAAACATGGACGATGATTTACGTACTATTGGTAATGGAGAGCATTCTTTGTACTATAAATTATTGGATAGAAATGCGTACCTTAATAGAACCCATAAACAAAAGTCGCCTTTTTCGAACTCGAAAAGGGTAAAAAATGCAAGGGCATCTTGTCCAGATTGGAACCCAAAAGAGTTAGTAAGTTCTGACATTATTGAGGATACGCAAGATTTTTACCTGTTATAATTTTATTTGGTAGATTGCATTTTTAGATGTTTTCCTCAAAGATGAAGAAAAAAAGTTGTTTTTGGTTACATATTTCCACGTGAATTTCTTTTGTTTTGGTGTAGATGTTTATTTAGTGTATATTATGTAAATGTATATCACTATTTTGTTAAAATAATTCTAATAATGTTTACTAAACGCCTTATTTTATGTATAATTTCGTACCAATATATTATACAAATTCTAATAACAGTGTTTATTTTGGATGGCTATGACGAATATATACGTCATAACTAAGGTCAATGGGTAAGACGTATATATCCGCATGCGTAAAAAACTGCGTCCACCTGGAATGCAGCTTCCATTTTTACTACCGGCCTAAGAGGTTAATGTTTTTGTGCCGCAAAGAAAATATCTAAATAATTTAAAAGATCCACCGTCTTGGGAAAATTTTATAACTAAATGGCCCTTTATGGAGAAATCTGAAAATAGCATGGCATTCTTAGGATTTAAAGATTACACCGAAGAGAGGTTAATGCTGTCTGCATTACTACCGCCACCTCCAGCTGTTCCAACAGATTTCAATCGGAATTTTACTTTTATATTGGACCTTGATGAACCCTCTTTTGGACTTCCAGAAGCCGAAGTAACCAAAGTAACCGAACAAGTAGATAGTTTAAAAAACAAAATTATCAACAATTGCGGTAAGGCAGAAAGAGTACAAAAATCGTGTATTATACTATTTGCCGAAGTTTACCGATAACACAAATCGAGGACCTGAGGGCTGAACACAAAGGGAAATTGACGAGACGTACTTTTGGCGATGGAGAACATTCTTTGTACTATAAATTATTGGATAGAAATGCCTACCTTAATAGAACCCATAAACAAAAGTCGCCTTTTTCGAACTCGAAAAGGGTAAAAAATGCAAGGGCATCTTGTCCAAATTGGAACCCAAAAGAGTTAGTAAGTTCTGACATTATTGAGGATACGCAAGATTTTTACCTTATGGACAATAATGCCAAATTTAATGTTTTTGTGGCGCAAAGAAAATATCTAAATAATTTAAAAGATCCACCGACTTGGTAAAATTTTATAACTAAATGGCCCTTTAAGGAAAAGTCTGAAAATATTAATTGACACTTTAAACAAATGGCAAAGCTGCAAATAGATGATGTAGATAAATTATTTATTGAGAAATCTAAAAGGATAATACAATTTTATCATAAGGATATAAATAATGAAGGTACTTCTTTAAAACTTGTGGCAAACCATTTTAAGGAGAACTTAAAAGCATTTACAAAGAGGTTGGTAATTTAATAATAATATTTAATATTTTTTTAATAAAAAAATGTTTCAGAATTAATTTGCGATATAAAACTGTACTCTTCCCGTAATAATTGAAGTCATTTTTAACTGCTAATATTTTAGATTAGGATTTTTTATTTTCATATAATTTAAAATTGACGTTGATGTCTTTTTAAAATCGTAAAAGTGTAACTTTTCCTGCTCAGGCGTGCAAAACTGTCACTTCTCCAGTCTGGACGGGCACACAGTGGCCAATTTTGATCGAAAAACAAACTTTTTTAAATAACCTATTTAAATATTATCCAATTGATATGAAATTTTGTTCATTTACTAAAAAAAGCCGTAGAATACAGTAATAAATTTATTTTTTACCTAACTAACCACCCAAGAACCCTTTATAATTTGAATAATATATGTTGTCTGGTGTATCTTAATTTAGATACTCTATAAAAAACTAGATTACTTTTTCAAAAATTTTATTACAAAACTAAATTACAATTTTGTAATCGGACTCTTCCGTTTCATTTTCATCATCTTCTACATTCTCCTCGTCCTCATTTTCATAATCATTTTCGTCGATTAATATAAAAGGCTTGTAATCTTTTCTTTTTCTTTTTAATTGCCAAACTATTTAAATATGGATCGGTACTAAATTAGTACTACTAATTATCAATCTATTAAAAAGATCCTTATTCACCCCAAATTTACTTTAGACGTAAAACTGTCTCTAAATTTTCGGATGTCTTTATGCTTAGCCTCTTGAGCCATCGGACATCTCTCCAATTGGCAATATTGCTTCATCAATTACGGAAGAACCATGTATTAAAATGGTATGTACAGATGTTGGCATATATATGCCAAATTATATAATACCAGCTGTACAATTTAACAAATTTTTTGGCCGTCGATAAGCAATATTTTTTGAAATGTACAATATTAATTTGATAATCTGATAACTCGCAAAATAATAGAAAACATTTTTAAGAGATCTTCATCGACTCCGGTAATTTCCTCAGACAAAGAAGGGTCTGCAAAAAATCGCCTGGCTGTGTTTTTATCATTAGTGCTCCCGTGTCCTTGTCTGACACAGTCCACTAGAATTCCCATCCTTGACCGAAGTTCCTGTTGAATTTTCTTTTTCCTTTCAGAGAATTTAACTGTTTTTTCTTTAGTAACCTTCCACGTTTTTAGTTTTAAACAATATGCTACATGAAGCAAACATTTAATAAACCGAATATATGCATGTAGCGTAGACAGTCCATATCTTAAATTTTCTTGTTTTTCCGGAAGATTTAAAACTAAATCTATGTTATTCATTTTGGATATTTTTACTCCGCATATGTGGCAAGTTATACTAGACGTTCCCGTTATCCAATCCAAGGAAATTTGGTTATTATTAATAAGGTTCATCATTTGCTCGCAAAATTCAATTCTGCGATCGGTATCATCCCCAATTAGTTCCTGTACTGCTTGCATCTTATACGGATGCATTTTTGAAGCATGTAGTAACTTCATTACAGTGGTGTGGCTCAAATCGTTCTCGCGAGCAATTTGTCGAGCTGAAGTAACAGGATTTTCTTGGATTGCTAATAGTACATTAAGCTTCGTATTGTCTTCAACGATAGGCTGGCGTTGTCTAGGAATATTTCTTACATGACCATTTTCGTGATATTTTGCTTTTACTTTACTAACAGTCCCTTAGCAAATGTGAGGCAATTCTGGGTGCGTTTCATTAAATAATCGTGCAACTTCTGTCTGATTTCGACATCTATCACCAAATCCAATCATCATTAGAATCTCAATACACAAAGTTTCAGTTAAATAAGACACGTTACTTGCAACTAATTTTAAAGAACTAAAATACATTCTTTCGGTTGAATATACAACGTTTTTGGTGGATTTAAAAAAAGGATTTATTTCTTTAAGGTACCAAAATAAAATAATTAAAAATTGCATATATGTATAAATTCCTATTAAAAAGAGCTTTCAAATGATGTATCACTTGATATACCTTTGCATTTAAAAAATAAAGTTAGGGTTGGTTGCACCCCAAAGGGTGGTTTCTTATATTTTTAAGATTTACCACAATTTACCCAGGTAAATTTATAAATTGACCTGTTTTTGGATTTTTTAAAAAAGTAAGTGGTTTTCAAAATAAAGAATTTATTCCAGTTAAGATTTCCACCCTGTATAAATATTATAAAGAAATGGTTATTAATGCAAACATTTTTTGCGTTTTGTTTTTTATACCAATGCTTTTTCGGGGTAAAAACAATAAAATTAACATTCTACATTAAAAGTCTATAAAAGTATTTATGCAAATCTCATTCATTCATTATTCGATCACCGGTCAAACAGCAAATTAAATTTTCAAGTAAGTAATCCCAGAAGGATTAGTCTACAAAATTATTCTACAGTTCAGGTAATCAGGAAATTTAAGAAACAAACATTTTTGAAGGTGTACAATTTATAGGTATACCTATAAAACGTATATTAAAGCCTTTGGTATAATTATTCATTCACATGAGAGTGAATTTTAAACTTGAGCAGACAGGATACACCGACGCTGAACTGAGTAGGCGTAGGTCCCCTTATATGCTTCGTTTTTTGTTTTACCCCGTGAATTTTGTTGCTACTTTCTGTTATTCTACGTGCACGAGCTTAGTGATTATTGTATGTCCGTCCATATTATTTCTATCGTGTTTATATCATATTTTATTGTATATTTATTATCATGTGCTTGTTACAAATTTTAATGACACAAATAGCATTATGCTTATACATATAAGTTGCTATTTCTTGCCAAAATCCGAGTTCCGTAGCCTTCGGCCGCTGCGAAGGTTTTACTACGAAAACAGGGCGTTCTCAGGCTTTATAGCCCAAGCAACAGATCTCACAAGCCCCGCCCCCCATTCTTTGACCACTCATTGGTCAGCCAAATATTTTCACCTCGTGCACCGAAATTGTTCGTTTTCTCGTATATTTATTGATTTTAAAAACTTTTTTACAACTATTTGTCCAATTTTACACACTTTTATCTATTTATATTGTTTCGTCCACATATTTTAACGCATTTTTAATACCAAACTACCAGCCCAAGTGCCGCTGCTCTCGAGCTCGGCAAAGGTAGTTCAAACAGCGCGGACGGAAGACTTAACGTCTCAGTCTACCCCATTTGGTGCAACTTGTGATCCTAATCAATTTTGCCCAAAAATGTCACATAATAAGGACCTTTTCTACCAAGATTTCTCAGCCTCGGGCTTTTCAAAATCAAGCAAATTGCAACGAACCCCGGTAAAAGGCTCCAAAAATCCAGCCTTGCCCCAGATCAAATCTGATCGGCCCAAGGAACCATCCAAAAAGAAAGAAAAAGACAAAGGAAAAGCCCCAGATAAAACCCAAGACCCAATTAATCCTCAGGAAAAAGGTAAAGCCTCGATCTCACCGAACATCGAAACAAAAATTGCAATGTTTCAACAACAGGGTAAAAACCCACAATTAAAACCCTCCATCCTGGGACACATCAAAAACCCCGATGATGACCTACTAAAAAAAGAAAATGCTAGACTGGCTGGCTTGGTAGAATCTCTCACAGCCCAATTAGCGTCTCAAACTGAAGTGCTGAAAGACCAATCCAGCCAAATAACATCACTACAACAAGATCGAAACTCTCAATGCAAACTTCATTGCATTAAAAAGTTCCGATCTTAGCAAGGCCTCCTCTAACCTGGCCTTATCTCAAACCACCCCGGATCGAGCCATTAAACGAAGAAGGTCAAACTCACTGCACAGGCCAAAAAAATCGGGAAAAGAAACTCAGCACATATTCCAGACTTCAATAGACGACTTCCCATTGCTACCATCAGCAACCACCTCTACGGCACTAACCTATATCCCCCCAAATAAAACGCCCCACACTTCAGTATCAAGACCAGCCACAAATAACGCTGCCCCCTCCAGCTACACCCCTCCAGACCAACAAACCCCGTCAACCTCACAAAATCAAGCTGAACACCCATAGTCCTTGTCAGAAAGGAAAGATGGAACATGGTAGCAGCCGAACTCGCAAAAAATGGCTGGAATTTTACAAAAGCCATAAACACCGCAAACGGCATAAAATTTTTCCCAGTCGATATATCGGACTACCGTGCCATCACGAAATTTCTGACTAACAACTCAGAGGAGTACCATACTTACCGGCTACCGGAGGAACGGGAACTGCAGGTGGTACTAAGGGGGCTCCCTGTTGAAATCCCAACCACTCAAAAACTCCTGCTAAAACTTCCACTTGACGAGGATAGGATCTATAACATGGAATATCTATGCAGGATCCGGGTAAAGCTCTAGAGAGAAAATCTTCAGTGGGGCAATGCTTTAGATGCCAAAAATTCGGTCATTCCCAGACCAAGTGCTCAGCGGAATACCGCTGCGTAAAATGCGCCGGAAAACACGCAA